GATCCTAGCATTGGAAACAGACAATACAAACCTTGAACAATATTATTTTTTGTCTTGGATGTTTTATTTATTGTATCATTCACCTGTACATAACTGTGTTCTAGAGAGAAAACACACACAAAATCTTTTCTCTGAGATATATATTTAAGAAGCAATGACCAGTACTTTATAAAGACATGCCTTGAATTAGACATTTTAGGGACACTTTTATTTGTCTACTCAGTCTGACAGATAGACAGTTATTTTCCCCCTCTCTGAAGAAGAGCAGATTATTTCAGAAATGTAATTTATTTAAGATATGATCGATATACAGACTGTTGTTCGCACACATCAAAAAAATACTCACAGCTGTCAGAGGACAAAGACAATTTTTTACACCTCACAGACTGAGTGGCACTCAAGAGGACCCTGTGGCTATGGAGACGAAGAGAGAGACTTTTTTTCCATTCTGTGATGAGCGCTTTCCAGCCAGCTACTCTGGGGAAAGTGCCCCCTTGTTCCTACTACACTACATCAATCATCATTGCACAACGATGCCAAATGATACACTCATTGTCTCTTTCTGTCTTCTTTCATGTCTTTCGAGTGTAGACCTGTTTGTCACTATACCATCAGCCATGCTTCTCCAGGCTACTGTCTTTGAACTAGCAAGTGGCAGTTGACAACACTGACACAGAGCGAAACTTCAGACTTAGCTTCATCTAATTCTGTAAAACAAAAACGTTTATCTAATTTGTGAAAAGAGGAGGATTACTTCTCCCACTGAAAGTTGTGATGTGTCAGTCTGGTCTAAGTGATGATTTTAAGGGATTAAGTGCTCGCAGCTGCCATAGCAACAAGTTTTGCTGATGGTTTTTCATTGAATGTCCACCATGGATGGCAGTGTTTTTGACATAAGTAAACATTTAGTCAGACAACAGTTTTAGTCAATCTAAGCCTGATAATCAGACTGAACTGCCTTTTCGTTTCACTTTATTCATTTATTATATTTTGATTATTGAGCAAATCTGAAATGTGGTGTTGATTCAGAGGTCTAGAACCAGGTTAGTTTAGCTGAAACATACAGTTAATACTAACCCAACGTTAAAGAGTGGTGTTATGTTATTATCAAAAAGTCCCATGAAAAGTCCATAATCAACAACCTGAGTCTCTCAATCAAATCATTACTGTATTTGCTCTCAGCCCTAAGCCCATTGGTTCTCATACTGAAAACCCAAATCTTTAAAAACAGCTTACAAAAAATATAGTTTCATTTTTAAAAAAGGGTCACTGATTTCCTAAAACAACTGGGCACTGTAGTTTTTAGCAAATGTTACTCAGACAAGAGTAAAGAGCACATTTGTTGGGGACTATTTACAGCAGCCGATTAATACACATCTCAGTTAGTATTTCTAGCAGCAGAAATGTGTGGGATTGCGATGCCACCCCATACTTGTCTGTATTTTACAGATCAGATAAGCAGATGGATAAGATCATCAGGCTATAGCTAAAGAGACAATACTAGTATACTAACAGGCATTGTCTGTTTAGCCAAAGGAGCAATTCATTCTTGGTTTTGGTTGACAATAAGAAAAATATAGAATATCACCAGAATGATCCATTTAACAGCAGAAAATTCACTGTTGTTGATCTTCACATCTCGCTAAATTCCCAGCTAATTGCTGGGAAATTACAGGAAATCCGGATGAATTGGATCGTTCTCAACATACCAGGAAAAGCTCAGGAAAAAACAACAACAATGAACACATTACCCCCAAATAAAAACCAAACACACAAAAAAAATCTGAAAAGGTTTAGTCTGTAATTGTGTAACATGATCGCATATTTTGATTGCACTTTCCTCATCAGACTTCCTGACTGCAGAGCTGATGACCTGCAGCCATCGAGTACATTAAAAGGCCATGCCAGCTGCTGAGTTTGCCCCTGCACTCAGGCATAATGCATTTTATAACTCAACAGTGTAAAACAATTTGCAAAATTACCGAAAATTGCAGAGTAATTCCGATTGTCAGACAGATGCTAAACCAAACGCTACACCACAAGTTGTTTCATATCACTTCAGTTTGTCTTTGCAAAAACTAAACTCTTACTTTATAAAAAGCAGGTATAAAATACTTGATCACAAAATTAAAGGCACACTATGCAAGATTTTTACCTTACTATAACAGCTTCAAAGTCATTTTCGATGGTAAACAAACTCGAAGTATAGCGAATCATCCCGATAGCAAAGCAGGAGAGGAAGTCTGAAAAGTGGCCTCCCGCCAAATCTCGTGAGAATCACCAATTGCTTTACGGCGCGACGTGACATACATCAGCGACATAAGAAGCAGCCTCAATGGAAGACACTAGCAGGCATTCACTCAGACGTTACCTGGTCAGTAGACATCTTCGGAGTCTATCTTTGCCTGTTCGATGTCCGACGCTTCCATCCTACTGAACATGTACCGGTATACAGGGGGGAGGGGATCAGGGTGCGAGTGCAGAGACGCAGAGCCGTATATAGAGACGGCTCTGGTGAGTGGTATTTACGACAGTTAACGTTAAATACAAGTACTCTGCAGCGACTCTAGGGGTAGCTGTTTGACAAAACCGGAAAACTGCACAGTATGCCTTTAAGTTTATATTATATGCTATTATATTCTTTTGTTATAGGATTAAGGCACACTATTATGGTAGTTTATACACGTATCCATTACCTGCAAATGTGTCAAATGAGGAAACAGACCAACTAGGTCCTTCAATTCATAGGATGACTGTTGGAGCCATATTGAGAGTTATTGAATTTAAATAAGAAAACCTGTAAGAGGGATGTTTTGAGTTAATATATTATATTTATGACACAAGAAGAACTGTGATAATACCTTTTGATTGTATAATCTTAAGGACATTGAGATTGTTCACTTACCTGCTCCTCCTGGATTCTGCTTCAACAGGGCGCCTGTAGGTAGCCTTTAAGTACAGGATTGAAATGGCCTGTGTGTGAGTTAGATGTTGTAGAGCAACAGTTATCCGACCACAGTGCTTTTCAGGAAATTTAAATCGTTTGTTTGACCCTTTTTTATTTTTGCTGGAAAAGTAAATTGAAGTGTATAGATACATAAATTATATTGAGTTGCTTCAAACAGACTATATCTTCATGTGTGTAACTCCTCACCTTCCTTCAGGTGGCTTCATAGTAGATTTAGATTAGTCACCTAAATGACTAATTCAGTTTCTCTTAAATGGCACAATAAACTGTCAATTATATTCAAATTCAGGCTGTGTTCTGTTCATTATTTATTTTATTAATTAAATTAATAATTTTCTCTCAAGGCTGATTTGTCTGTTGCTAACTATTTATGCAACTGCCAGCCCTGTGGCTTCTCCCTTACACTCTGTATTGCATAAGCAGGTTGTTTTAAGACAATTTGCATGTAGCAGGGGAAGTTTATGCTGCCTTCAAATGAAACTTGTGTTTCAATGACGGAGGTACACATTAAGCTCAACTTTCAGTGGTTAAAGTGAAAACACTGTTGCTAGGAATGCACAATCACCTTTCAAAAATAGCAAAAGATTTCCTTTTCTACATGTCAACTTCATGCAAGATGAGAAGGGTAACATTCACAGACCTTTGCCATTTTTAAAATGCCAACACACTTCACAACTCTTTAACTATAACAACATTTCCAGCTACAAGTTGTGCTTTTAAAATGTCAATTGTTGTCATGTGAAAGCTTTCCTCTAAAGAGGAAGACGCAGCACAGTGAGGTGACTGACCTGCCAGGTACAGGTACAACACATGACTGCAGTTATGCTTTAAATTGGACAAGACTCCAGTTGGTTCAGTCCACAGTCCTCGTTCTGAACCAGAACTAGAGTTCAGATGAAGCTTAATGCTGAGTGAGAAGAAACAAGCGGTTATCTTTCAAAGTTAACAATCTCTTAAGTAGTGGATTTTTTCCACTAGAGTTCAAGGGTTCACTGCCAGTATGTAGGAGAAATAATTATAGAAAGTCTAAGAAGTACTTAAACTGAAAGTGTAAGGTAGACTTAGCTTCATATAGGCAAAAAAGCTCAGAGCACATGTTTGCACAAGTTGCCCCAGAGTGTGCACACCAGTGTGTTCTTCTGGGGAAATCCACTTTCTTACTGATTGATACTGTTTTCAGAAAATAGGAGTGGACATCAGTTTTGTAGTCACAGTGATTATCACAATGAAAGAAAAAAGTGTGAAAATAGAGACTGTGAATGTATCACTTTTGGCCTCTATGGACAGAAAAAAAAGTGATGAATGAGAGGTAATGAGGCTAAAAGCCCCCTTTTTTATTTTTACTGTAAGAACTATTTCCTCTTTCTAATGTCTAATCTCAGCTATTTCTGTAGCTGACCTCAGGTATACATTCTTCCTCATAGGAAAATACACAACAGTCACATCTGGCATAAATGTTTACTCAACACATTCACAGATTGGCTGCAGGCATCCATCTCAGATTCTTTTCATAAACATAAAAAGAGCCTTGGATATGGCCCTGACACGTGGCTTTCTGGGTAAAATAGTTTATCTGATAACCACACTTCACACGCCCACAGTTCATTCTGCTGCCTGCCTTCACTTCTTAACCTCATTCGAGCATTGAATCAATTTAAGTACTTCAGTTTTCTTGCATTGAATGATAATGAAGATTTAGACTGAGGGAGACAGATGATGAAGTGAAAGCTGTTCCAAAGAACTGAAAATAGTTCTATTATAATTCCTATTTACACTTGTTACATTATGAAAAGACCTGTGTCAATGTGAAAGCATGGGGGAATCAGGGTTTATGTGTGTGACGTGTAATAGCCTGCCCACAGACTTTCAATTCCTGTCAAAATCAGACCAGTATGCACATATCATGCTTTTCTGTCTCTGTTGAGAGTAGTGACGTCAGCTCCATCACAGTCTAATGTTTCTCCCCACCCCTGAAGCCTACTTCCTCCGTGCACGTGTACAAAAGCAAACCTCCCTCCTCCTACATGTGTCTTCCCTTTTTTTTTTACTTCGTCTCATCTCTTCCTTACACTCACACACACGCTGACATTTAAACTGTGGCTGTCAACGGCAAGTTGTCTCTACCAGAACAAAAAAATCCGACAGTGCAGTACACAGAGAATAACCATTGCATTTTGTAGTTACTGTATTGGCTGATGGTTATCTAGTGAGAGTACCATGTGGGACTGTTAGTGGCTTGGCTGCATGTCAGGAGCTCTGAGGAGTCTCTTCTGAAGCTCGTCTTCTGACCCTCCTGGACTGAACTCTGCCAAAACCTGAGACACATCTGGAATGTGTCTGAAACTCTTCACCCACAGGACAGCTTTCTTTTACAATCAAGGCGCACCTCTTACCCAAAAAACATCAGGTGAGGTAATTATTTATTACAGCAAAAATTATACTTAGACTTAAAAAAAAATAACATCTCTAAAAAGTATTACTGAAAAAGATAGAAATGTGACATGTTTTTATATGTTTTGTAAACAGGGTGTTAAAGATATTAATTCCTTTTGAACTTTCTTTGCTAGTTTTCTTTTTGTCCCCAGTGGACTGCTGTCAAGGGAAAGACAGCATGCTTGAGGCATGCTTGATGTGTGAGTCAGCATTACAAAGTAATTATGGCTAGAAATTATTCTCTGCAGGATTGAATGTTTTCTGCAGTTCTTCCAGCCGTGGTCACTACATAGTGTTCATTTTGTCAAAAATGTTTTGATTTAGTCTTAGTCTTGGTCCCGTGTCAGATGTCCTTGTTGGTTTTTTATCAGATTTAGTCAACCTCATCCTGTTTGGATAAGTATGTACATTTTAACGTAACTATTTTAGAACCATAATTTTTGTCTTTTTTAGTCAGATTATATTGAACATTTCAGTCGATATAGTCTCACCAAAAGCAATAATGTTCTATCATTTTAGTCACGTAAGACTTTCATTATCTGATGAAAAACACAGGTTGAGTAATCTACAACAAAGTCTTGTAATACCATTGCCTTACTAGTTGGCTTATAGCTTAAAAAATAAAAAACTACCTAATGTCTGTCTTTAGGTTTGTGGTATTTGTACGAGCCTTTTTTTATGGCCACATTGTTTCACTTCTGTTAAAGCAATGCATTCAGGGGGGATTTCTCAGTCTCACTGAAACAAAAATGGGCCCAAATATCTGTTGATGTCATTCTTAACTTTAAGTTTCTTTCCGTAAAACAGTTGATGTAAGTTACTCCAAAAGATATGGCACACAAAAACATAATATTTAATCTCAAAGACAATAAAGAGATCTTTAACACATTAAGTTATTATTTTAGTCTCATCAATATAGTATCTTGATAAAGTCACATTTAGCCTTTAATAATGTCTGTGGCGTCTCAGCATTGTCTAATTTTTGTCATAGAGAAAAAGGTTGTTGATGAACATATTTAGATATAGCTTTAATTAAGGAAATTACCATTATTTGAAACCTGACTTTGTTTTCGTCTCCTCTGGACTGTGAAAGGCAGCATGCTTGATGATGTGTGAGTCAGTGTTGCAAAAATAATTAGGTTAGAAATGATTCTCTGCAGGGTTGAATGTTTTCTGAGGTTCTCCCAGCGGTAGTCACTACAACAGGTTGAAAAGTGCAAAAGGGAACTGCTTGACAAGAGGAAATAGTGAAAATTCACAGGAATGTGGACTGTGATACCTGTGAAACGCAGCTTTGGTATTAGGGAGGCAAGCTATAAAACATATTGCTTGCATTTTGCTTGACGTGCAGCACATTCCTCCTCCTTTAGGAAACAGCTGAAGTTTTGGTCTTTTAAAGCCTCACTGGTGGCATGACTGTGTAATAACAACCAAGCTTTGTTCAGCTCATAATATTAACAAACACATAGTTGGCCCAGATGGACGAAAGGATGGACTAAAGCCTCGACCAGCTGTAAAGAAGTCATGTATCAGGATGATATGTGAAATTTTCACTGAAAGATGAAAACCTGTAGTTTAGAGGAAAAAGAAAAGAACCTGTATTGATTTTAAAGTGAATAGAACAAGCGCTTCAACTAGGGCCATTGTTAGTAGGAGGGGAAGACCAGTTTGTTGTTAGTCATAGCTGCCAGACTGATGACTAAACAGCAGCCTATGAATTATTTTAGAAAAAGTACCAGATAAAAGAACAAAACTTTCCGATACCGCAGTCACTGTAGATTCCCAACCAACATTATTTGAACACTTTATGAATAATCCATTAAATCAAACCCATTTCCACACGCCTGCATGCACGCCTGCATGCACGCACACACACACACACACACACACACACACACACACACACACACACACACACACACACACACACACACACACACACGCACACACACTCACACACACAGGCACACATTATTCACCAGAGATGGTCTGCCTCTAAATGGCTTCTCCATTATTGAATTTGGATGGGACAGCCTATCTCTGTCCAGACGTTAATGGCATTAGATGCTTCCTGAGCGTATAAACACACCAGGGCCAGGCCTAAGCAATAGAACAGAATGTGGGGAGGAAACAAACATTAGTGTCTGCCACTGAAATACAGAAACTAGCCATAAATATACAGAACACAGGTTTAATTTCCTAATGCTGAAATCTCAGAGAGAAACAGGAAATTGACAGAATAATGAAAACTTTTTGAAAAAAACTTTTGAGGGCTCTTATCATTTTCCATAAAAATAGCAACCGCATGTTGTCTTTGTAAGAAGCTATTTGAGGGATCTACATTGAGAAGACGTGGTGACTTTATTGTAACCCATTTTCTGATTACATTTACCTGTGCAGGAAGTGGTTTTTTTTCTCTTCTAATTCAACACCAGAACATTTTGAACAGGAAGCAACACAGACTAATATCTGAGATGTGTCTGCCTAACAGACGGGAATCACACCCACGGCTCTATGATGAACTGGGACTGACAGTGCATGTACAGCGTAGATCAGGGAGTAAATTAATTGATTAATTCATATAGGGCATGGAGTTCACATTACTCATCCTTCAAGCCACAGTAAACAATTAAATCCCTCTTGTCTCTTCAGCCATCCAGTTCTGCTGATAGCTGTTACATCAGACATTAAACTGGACCATGAGTGAGTCTTTTTAAGGATGCATTTAAATTAACAGTAACTGATTGTGGGTTGTTGTGTCCCCACAGAATCAGAATATCTTCTTGTGCTGATAAATTGGACTGAAGTTGTATTAAGCAGTGATTACAGTAAAATGCAAATGCTCACTTTGCGAGTTCAGTCTGTGCTGCCCCTGCCCGCCACTCTGATTTAGACCATGCAGGGCAATAAGTGCAACAATTTAACAAATAGCAGCATTAACATAAAATATTGTGATCGCCTAGGGGGCAGGAGTTTCTACATCTAATTCACCCGATATAAGGCTTTAGGTCCTTACTGCTCCCAGTTTCCATAAAACCAGGACATTTATGAAGAAAGTGCATGAAATTTTTTCTCCACACAGAGCAGTTGAGGCAATAAGGGGGGATTTTGGCAATCACAGTTTCTATTAGTACTGTGGGTGTTATCTTCAGGGACCGTGACTAAGCCTGTATCTTCTCCAGGAGAGGAAAACTTCAGCTCCCTGCCCTAACACCGCATGTTGAGCCAAACTGCCTCACATTCAGAAACATCAGAGGACAACCAAATGATTTTATCTCTTGAGCTCACTGAACCACAAAATAGGATGGATACAAAATGTCCAAGCTAGAACCACTGGATTTTAAGGCATCGTGGGAGTAGGCTCATGTTGCCTGTGTCACTTTTACTCTGCCTTATTGACAAACACTTACTGTGAAACCTTTTTTTTCCCACAGGTGAATTTCTAACCAGCAAAGTGACAGAAAACTAAAGGAACAATGAACATCACAGTCCCAACATCAGCCACAAATGCGTCTACAGTGTGTGTTAACATCGAAGACAGTGCCATCAGTGACTTCCTGATGTCCGTTTACATTCTGTCTTTCATTTTTGGTTTGATCTTCAATGTGCTGACCTTGAGACCCATTTGGCATCAAATGCGTCGGCAAAATGTTTTGGGCATCTTCCTGCTTAATCTCTCTATCTCTGACATTCTTTTCCTCCTCACTATGCCCCTTTGGATCAATTATTACCTAAAGAACCACCACTGGGAGCTAGGTGTCATTACCTGCAGTATAGCTGGCTTTTTCTACTACTCCAACATGTACATCAGCATCTACCTGCTCTGCTCCATCTCCGTGGACCGCTGCCTGGTGGTCATTGACCCATTGCGCTCCAAGACCTACCGTACATCACGCTATGCTTGGGCACAGTGTTTTGGTGTTTATATTGTAGTGATTGTGATGCACATCATGGTACTGGTCCATGACAATCTCAAAGATGCCCATGATGACATTAACAAGAATGACCGTTGTTATGAGACTTACCCCATGGAGAGACCTGTCGCCCTATTCAACCTGCTCAGAGTGTGCCTCGGCTTCCTGCTGCCCCTGCTGGTGTTGGCGGTGAGCTACTGGAGGGTACTGGCCACTGTGGGTCAGAGTCCTGGCCTGAGTGCTCAGGCTAAGCGGAAGGTCCGCCTGCTGTCCTTTGGGGTGATTGGGATCTTCTCAATTTGTTTTGCTCCATATCACATTCTCCTGCTCACACGCTCACTCGTCTTCTACTACAGCAACAAAGAAAGTTACTGCCAGTTTGAACAAAATATGCACTTTCTCTTCTCATGTACGTTGGCATTGTCCAGTCTGAACAGCGTGGTGGACCCTGTGTTATATGTGCTGGTCAGTAACAGCGTCCGGGAGGAGGTGAAACTGTGCTGGAGAAGGTACAGAGGGAAACAGACAGATACAGACTGTGCTCTTACTGCATACAACAGAGGGAAGCAGAATACTAATTTAATATGAAAAGTAAGCTATATGTGGGTGGACAAGTCCACCTGTGCATTTGTATGCATATGTGTGTGTGTGTGTGTGTGTGTGTGTGTGTGTGTGCATATATATACACAATTATGCATAATGCTGTAGCTGTTTGAATGTCTTCATTTTTGGAGTTAGCCAGTAAGTAGCAGGATTATTTACATCCCATAATCAACCCTTTGTTTACAGACAATCAACATCCTTTGAGAGAGCCACATTGCCTTTGTTTCTTATTTCCTTTTTTTCTTCATCCTGCACAATGTAGCAGAGGCAGTTGAATAACATGCATCTCAGAGCTCTGTAATTGGATTGCACTCCCAGGTTCTGCTCTCCCAAGAGTTCTTCAGTGGCGGCCACTTCTGGTTTGTGGTTGGACACTGCCTGAGTTGAAGAGCCCTTGTGTTTCCCCTCCAATCTATACAAGAATATTGTGATAGTGAATATGTGGCCTTGCTATAACTGAAAGTGCATTTACTCTAAAGCATGCCAAAAAGCATTTATTAGCATGACCGTGTGTCCTAAGTGTCTGGCCGTCAGTGAAACATGTTGAATGTAAATGAACCATCATATAAACCAGTGGTTTGAACAGGTGCTCTAGTTTTAGGTTGTTTGGTTTATGTGAGGATCAATTTTGCAGTTGGTATTTTATGCATTCCCACAGCGAGAGAAGGCCTTGGGAGATGATAAGAGAGTTTTATTCCCAGAGTTGTTTTAAAAAATGTTTCACAATGTCTCAAATGATGTGAGCAAAAGTTAATAAACTTAGTGTACATCTAATCCTCTACAGACAGGCAAGCAGACAGGGGAAGAATGGGAGAAAAAGGGAAGAGGAGAATAGGAAAAATGAATCAACAACATTAAGGCTGCTGTTGCTTTGTTTTACATTTTGTCCATTATTCATACAGTGTGTCTTTAATGCATCAATAGAGCTCTTTGTAGGGCACATCGATAAATCACCAGTTGAGCACTTGACATATAACCAGTATGAATCCTGAGGACATCAAGGTTTGTACAACCAGTTCTCTTTCTTTAAAAGCCTATAGTGCTGAGTCCTTGATCTATATATGGTATATAGCAATGCTGTCTCCTGAACACGAGCTCATATAAAATGTTTTGCCTAATGTGCTTAAATCGAAATGTAATTGCTGCCTGGATTATGTTCCCTGGCAATGTTTTTCCCAGTCCATGATGGGTGGATATTGTAGAGAAAGCAACAAGATAGGTTGTTTGTGAACATTTAGCTGATATGTTTATTTGTTTTTTGTTGTTTTTTTTTTGCAGATACCCTCATTAAAATGTTCATTAATTTAAAAACACTGTATTTGCTTTTGGAAAATTTCGTTGTACATGTTTTGTTGGCAGATAAGGCACACAAGTTCATTGTTGCTTCAGTACTTGAAGGATACAGCTGATGAGATATTTTCAACAAATCCCATAAAAAGACCAAAAGTATTATTACTATTATTGATGAATTGATCCTACCTACGTCTGTGCAGTCGAAGCTTCATATAGCTTATTCCTCTGCGCCATAGACCTCTAGTCGTCCAAAAGCTATTAAAAAAACATCAGTAAGCCACACAATTGCACACACATTCCCCCGTTATGATGAACAGGGACACTGTAATTTATTAACTTGTCCTGCTGTTGTAAACACTCACTGGAAAACTAGTGTTAGTCCCTGGATGAAAATAGTCCCAATAATAAAAGCTAGTGTTGAATTGTTTTTGGAAAGGATTAGCATTTTAAAAAAATAAAATGTTTATTTCATTATACGTACCTTTCTAGATTTGCTGTGCTCTACGACAGTGTTGAGGTCATGTGCATAGACATTTCACAGCATGAAATCAATAAACTAAATGATTACAATCTCAGATCTCATTCAACTTTGTGTATTATTTTTATTTTCAGCAGCAGAGCAAAACTCTGAGCCTTGACAGTGATGAAGCAGTCATATGTTATGTTATGTCTCGGAGTCCTCTGGCTATGTGCTGACAGCAATTTAGTCTCTGAGGGCACAGGCCAATGTTTCAGGGCTTCCGGTGTAGCCAGTGGATGTCTGGATAATGTATATCCGGGCCAAGACTTCCTCTCCTGTGTGCGATTAGCAACTTGAGACACAAGAATGGTGATCTTTATAGAGATATATATATATATAAAGATATAAAGAGATATCTGCCTATGAATGCTAAGTCGCAGTCATACGATATCCAATTGGATCCAAGATTGATAAAAAGCAAAGTCTTTGTCAGATGGTAGCCAATGAGTTCCGAGATTGCATTTTGGTCAGTGTGTTCTGCCTCTTTTGTTCACTGCACAGACTGTTTACTTGCATGCAACCAAAGCCTGTTATCAGCAATATCAGCTTCTTCAAAAACAGATCATAAAAGCATCCCATAAGAGATAAATAGTCATCAATGCTCATTATTCCATATGGGAATATGACAGTCAACACAGCAACACTATTAGATCCAAGCTACAGGCCAATGTCCAATGCAACAACAGAAGTACACCAATCAGCATTCTGGGTTACTATGTTCACAAATCCTAGGATATTGCCATGGTAACAGCTTGCATGTATATGCAGCGATCCGTAACTCCTTTAAACTTAATACATTTTTGCTTTTATGAGTATTTTTTTGCTCAAAATATCACTGAATGATGTCTGACTGGGGCTTTAAGGGCTAAACCAAAAATCTTCAAATCAACTGGACGAGCAGATTTTGAAAACGACAATGGCTGCACATTTAGATGTTGCAGCCGGTAGCCTAGCTCCTCTCAAACTGTTTTTGTTTTAATCTGTTTTTGGCTTTATTATTAAAACACATTTTACCTATGACAAGAATAGCCTACCGTCATCTGAAAAGGAAACATTTTGATTAAAGAGCAGCAGACTTTGAGTTGATCCGGCCAGCCAGATCAACCAGTTGGGACCAGCCCACCACAGCAGATGTTATTCTATGAATTGACTTACCTTTTGCTATGTGCGTAGCATTAAGGAACTGCAAACTCTCTCAGCCTTTTATAATGTTGTATAATGATAGATAAAATCCCATGATATTTATTCAAAATATTCAACTAAACCCCGCTACATGAGGAGACGCCCTACTCCTGCAGGTGAGTAACTGTTTTAATGTATGTACTGTGTGTAATGTATGTTTTTTATTTGTGGCCCAAGGCACACCAGATATGATCAGGCCTGCATCTTAGGTTTTACTTTGTTACTTTTTTGTTTGTTTTTCTTAAGAGTGTGGGCTCACCGTTAATATTATTGTGTGTGCATTTCTATACTGTTAGATCCATTTGAGTGTGTTATGTGAAAAGTTTTATGTTTAAAGTGTCTTATGCGCACGTTTGTATCTGTAGTGTTTGAGTTAAGTTGAGTATCTCCTCACAGAAGGCGTTCATGTCTACGTTGGACTTGTCTATCCAGGTAATTGGGCAGATATAATATGTGAACTATTTAGGCCTAATTTTAGTTACTCAAATAATGTAATCTATTTCTCATTACTCTTATAAAAAGTAATATTACTTATTATTCACTGCAAACAGTATACAAAATTGGTAATGGTGTCCCTTCTCCACAAAATTCAGACTGACGAAAACCAGTTTTGTTCAATGTAAGGGAATATTTCCAGCTGCTGAAGGTAAGCATTTCCATCTTCCAAACTAGTTTCCTCCACGAGTACTCTGCTGCTGAATCCAAGGATGTGATTGGATTGTTCAGTAGGGGATGCCAACCAAAGTAATGTTGTAACTTATTATTTTTTGGGGAGCTACCTGTAATATTATTACTGAATTTTAGTTGTAATTAGTTCCACTGCTAGTTACGGGGGAAAGTAATATAATACCACACATTGTTTGAGAGTCTTTATTCTGGTAGAAAGTAAACAGACACCCACTCAATACACATCAGAAACATACTCTATTGTATAAGTAATATTACTATTGAGTGTTAGTAAACTAGTCTAGGGTGCTGTTCTTATGGCCTGTAACAGTATTACAATTCTATTGCTGTTTAATACTGCAGTGTAATTGATGGATTATGTGCTCACTCCATATAATAACATCTATCTTCATGGCCTCATCGATTCCTCTTTTGTGCTCTTGTTGCTCTCTGAGAGAGAGACGATTTAACATTATGTTAATGTGTGCGTTGCAAGTACTTCTTCTTTTTTTATAAATGATGTGCCTTGTGCCAAAAACGTTTGAGAACCACTGATCTAGATTAGCTAACTATTTGAATCCATAGCCTTCAAGTCTTGCCTTAATGAATTCGATACTAGATAGCAACCACTGGATGCCAACAGTGTCCTGTAAGGTGCGTCATTTTCTCTCTTTGTCTCACTTGTGCTCACATTAAATGTGCATGATGAATAGATCTAGGGCTATATTTCATTTTTTCTAATTTTTGTAAAAAAGTTTTGTCTATATACAGGGATATTCATAAAATAGGTGTAACAACGCCACTAGGTTTTGGTCCTCTTATGTTGATAAAAAGAAACAAATATAGAACAATGCCATTCTTTTAACACAAGCAACAACTGGTAGAAATGTATCTGCCCCATCAGCCTTTAAGTATAGAGCCAAGAAAAACCTCATTCATATGATTTCACGAAAAGGTTACCAAAAAATGTCCTTCCATCACTTCATTATTTCCCATCAACACTCTTACCAGCCAGAGCGTGAGGCAATTTCAGGAAGCACTACTTGAACTCCAAATTTGCAAATGTTAAAATGCAGTCAGGTTTAAAGAAATTACACAAAGCAGCAGTCCATCATCCTGTGGCATTAGGCCCAAGATATTACAGATCAATTTTCTCTAGACTCAGATTTTAATGAGCTCACTCTGGCTGTAACCAGACTCTCTGGGAAATCAATATGGTTTCATTGATTAGCTGTTCTGAGTCATAGCTTCATAATGTAGGGTTGGGCTAAATGCATTATATAGACAAAGCTATTCTTAGACTGAAGTTATTTTAGCATTGAGTTGAGTATTGTGACACATACAAAACAGCACTCAATAGAATATAATTGTTCATTTCTTACTTCATAATAAGTAATCACTGCTAATCAGTTAATGTTTCTATTGAACTTCTGCTCTCCTGCTGCTCGCTGTGTTAAGAGTGTCTTAATGAAACAGCAAATCTTAATAATCAAACTCAATTTGTCCAAGACCTATTTATGAACCGCAAACCCAAAGTGGCTCATCATTAGATTTGATATTTCATTAGCAAAACAATAAGTAGGATATTCAGTTATTATAATTCACTATACTGTAACTACAGACATACAGGCTACCACAGTTAAATTACTTTATTCAAATATGTCATAAATATTAAAAATACATACAAATACAAATATGTCCACCCGGATGTGGGTAAATGTGTTGTTGCTAACTTGACAGTGCCACGGTCTCATATCAATCAAACATCCTTGCGCGTCCAAAAGTGACACTAGAAGGGTATGTACAGCGTCACTTCTTGAAGCGTAGGGCCGCTGACCAAGTTGCAGTTTTTGACGCGTTGGAACGTGTTGACCACTGTCACTGACCTTTATTATTGAGTATATAATTGAAGTGCTGTAAAACTTGACATACATTATATTTATAGACATAAGGGTTGCAGAATATTTGAAAAACAGGGACAGCACCATCTCTAACTATAACCTCAGAAATAACCACATCCGTAAATGTAGAATGTAACTGAGCCGTTGTACTTTGTAGATTGTGTATGTGTACTAAAAAACATGGCCAGGAAGTGTATCATTTGTTTGCACTGCCGATCTGAATAGATTTGCTGCCACACAATCATACGTTATATCTCAGGAAGATAAATTAAGATGCAGATTTGTTTTTGGATGTAAAGCGGTTTTGCACCTGACACTTAAATGTCAAAGCTTTCCATTTAGATGTGACAAACACCACGTCCCAACCTTAACCCTAACCCTAACACTCTTCTGCCCACTCAGACACACACACACACACACACTCTTTCTTTCAGGAAGTATTTAAGTACATAAGTTACAAAATAAAGACACTAAACTTTTTCCACAGTTTAAATTTATAGACAGGAACTAACAGGAACTCAAGCATCGCAGACCTGTCTAAAAATAATACCTGGTTTTCTCTGCAGTCTTCACTTATGTCCTTTTGTGCATCATTCTGCTTTACATTGTGGTTATGCCCAACGGACATAATGACAATTGTTTTTCTGTGTTTGTTTTTTCTCATGAACTAGCTCAAATAGCAGTACACATACATTTTTGTACAGGATACTGGCGTCAGTTATTTAGCCAATTACCATAAAGCACTTATATCAAAACAATACTTATTTTTGTTTATTTGACAAGAAAGCAGGTTCGTAATTAATTGCTTGAAAGGATTAGTAGGTCCTTTTCATGAAGTATTATCTCCTCTATGTATTCACACTGTTACAGCAATACCCAATTTCCAGTCATCGTGGTAATTTTATGGTTCAATTGACTCACAAATAATTGCCTGAAGTATATTTTGAATATTCTTTTCTTTATGTAACACATTTTCACTCTGTTGCAGACCTTAATTTAAGGTGGTTGAAGTGAAATTTGTCTAGTAGCCTAGGGGACCTGGAAGTCTAAATCCTCAGTGTAAGGAGCTTAGTTTGTTTATAAAAAAACAGGTCTTAGCCAGAATCCACTTGCTGTTGTGTCAGTCTTAACACTAAAGTTTGTATTTACTTGTATTGTAATATGAAGCAAATTAACTGGTGCAATTCTCAGTCTTAATCAAACAACTGAAATGGCCCTGAAAAATCTTCCAAAAAGGCAGAAATAACATCTTGAGTATGCTTATTTGTATTTCCCGTTTATTGTGTTCTTTATGTGCACGTTTGCTGACAGCCTATTATAAAGGCATAATCTGCTTGTTACTGATGATGGTAAGAGGCAGCAGAATAATACAGCAATATTGGACTTTTAGACCCAGTGCCATACTTTTGGATTTGATTATATTGCACAAAGTATTTGTTCTTTCTTGATTTCTGTCTTTTATAGACAAAAATAATGGTGACTTCTGTAGTTTTGGAGGAAGTTGAAACAAACTTAACGTCATCATTTAAGGTTTCGACTGGGCTATACCATGACAAAATTGCTTTTCCGGGGGGTTGCTACCACTTGAAGATTTTATATTTTTCCCCAGAGCCTAGATAAGCAATTTTTCACTCGCACATTGTCATCCTACAGTAAAGTTGATAGGCGAGTAAGCAGTTTTCATTTAAGTGAGTGGGTGCCATCTTTGAGTCTGCCATGCAGTTCTTATAATACTGTACATCCATAGTACATACAGTACATCAGCATTTCACAGTGATTAGTTTCTGCATTACATTACTTTCTAACTCAGTTTTGGCTATGTCACTTGAGAGATTTCTGTGCTTTTCTCACTAGTTTAAAGTGGGCGGGGCTCTGTTGGAAAAGGTCCATACACCGAACAGGATGCAACAATATCTGCAACCACAAAGTTCTGATGAAGCAGTTTTTCAGTGTGAAACTCTTGAGAAATAATAACTACGGATGTTTTTCCCACCCTTTAAGTTTGATAGCTACTCAGTCATTAATACTTAATACAGAAATACTAAACATTTCAAACCAAGTCGCAGGGGCTTTAAATGTGGATTGATATTGTGCGTGGCATTATGGCATTTGAGGATTTCAATCTTAAAACAACTGACCTCCATGGGTGCCCGGTTAGCTCAGTGGGTAGAGCTGGCGACCCATGTATCGAGGCTGAGTCCTTGCTGCAGCGGCCCGGGGTTTGAATCCGACCTGCAGCCCTTTGCTGCGTGTCATCCTCTCTCTCTATCCCCCTTTACTGTCTATCTGCAGCTGTCTCTATCATAAAGGCAATAAAAAGCCCCACAAAAAAAAACAACTGACCTCCCTTCTTGAAAACAAAACAAGAACCCTTGCAGACCCTTTCTGATAGAGCTTCAGGGCAAAAACAAGCGGGGTAGAACTGAATGCAAGATTGGGATCAACACTGGCTGGGGAGCTGGGCTTTTTCAAACCGCATCAAAGCTACCCTGAGTATTTTTGTTCCTGTCACTCGGGTGACAGAACAATTGTTTTGGCATTTTTGAATGGGCTGATTGGATTTGTTGATGGTCAATTTGCTCTGCACTGATACATTTATTTTATGTAATAACTTGTTTCAAACCTTCCAGTTAACAGTAGAAAAAATAGCCTTTTAATCATAAGCAGCAACAATAATGAAAACTGTAGAACTCTGAATAACTAATTGAACAGAATTAATGTTGCTAAATTTAATTAAGATCACATTAACCAGTTCTCTGGTGAGTCTTTTAAAAGAACGCATGTTCAGAAATTGACTTGATATCCAGGGTTTGACAAACAAAGAAAGCATTAATCACACTTGATGGGAACTGAGTGGAACAGGTGGCAGCACAGTGATGCTTATGGGTGACTTTATTGTTCATGCTCTGAATATTAAGTTGATCATTGTGTCAATCTTGTTTTCCAGACAGAGCCGAAGTATAGACTTTATTCATAAGGTAACACCTTTATGAATTTAGTATTGGTTACATTTTACAATGGTTTGAAGGTGACATATAAGGTGCAGATATTATCTCCCATATACATATTGATCTTTTACCCCCAGGTCCACACAAACTGTCGACATTACACATGTATGCACAAACACAACTGTATTTATCCATGTGCACAAATGAAACACAAAGTTAGACTGTGGAACAAAATCATAGAGAATAAATACTACATAACATTAAAAACAGCAGGCACATGTATTTCAACATAAGAGAGATGTAACTGATATTAAGAATAAGATTTTGAAGCACAGACAATCAGAACCAGGGACAAAAATATTTTGCACATGCTCGTCTGTAACCCATGTCTGCTAAGAAGAGTTCAGAAAAGCTCCATGAAATCAGAGTTTACTTTTTAAGTATAACCAGGCCACTGACCAGTATAGCCACCCCTGGTTTCAGCCTCCGGCATAAGTCTGTTCGAGAATCTGTCAGCCTGAGGGTCTGTTTATGCCGCCTTTTTAAAGCAGCAGGATCTGCTTAGTGTCTCTGACAGCAGCTCAGTGCACCTAAGAAAAACACAGGGATCCCAATGAATGGCCTAATTCTTCATCATCATACTAAACAGTCTGGCCTGGATCTGCTTCTTTGTCTGTTTGTCATGAGTGCCCCCCTTTTTTTTTAGCACTGCCTCTGGTGACACTGTACAAGTAAGGACCACTTTTTTTTCACAAAAATTCTGGAAACACATGGAGAAATCTGATTTAAATGGATGTTGCATTTGTCTTTATTTTCTCCTGGACACCTCAGACATTAACATCGGTGTTAGGGGTGCAGGTGTTAACTTGTGGGCAAGGACATGGCTCTGCATGGCAGGAGCTGCTACAACAGTTGTATCATCGCAGGTACACTCTGAAATCAGCCCCTGGATGTCCCTCTCTCCACCATCCCCCTCTGGCGATTGCGACAAGGACAGAGGTAGCCTTTCAGGTGCATGCGTACCTTGCTGTGCAGTGAGGCATAGATGAAGGGGTTGTAACACGCAGAGCTCATAGCCACTAAATGACAGCATACTTGTAAGACGTTAACATAGCGCTTCCCTATGATGTGGAAGTCTGGGTCCAGGTCCAACAACAAGTTCAGCACCTACACAGTGACATAGAAAAACTTATGTTATGCACCCTGGACATATTTAATTGCACTTAATGTGTAATATATTTTAAAGAAACACTCAAAGCCAACTTTGCCTCTTGCTCATTTTGACACCTTTCAGTAATCAACAACAAATGCCACACTTGCAACTCCTGCAGGTCTGTAGGACTAAATCTATTTGCAATTTGCTTGAGACAATCAGCTATAATTTTTCTACAACTTTCTAATAAAGGCACACAGGGAAATATTAACAATTTAATCATTTAGAGACACATAAAACCTAATTTTCTAGCACCTATATGCCATTGCACATATTTTCTTGCACATTGGGCTACCATAGAGGGCATTTTGTCATATTTTATCTACCACAGCAGCATCCAAGGGGGTACTTTTGCAGTGTTGGCACAAGTCAGTTTTGTAGACACAATGACCTGATGATAACCATTTAGCATGGTTTTAGCATCACTGGGCAAAAATGTTGATAGTCTTTCAACATATTGTAATACTAGTGTTCTGACAGAAAACTAGACTTGTGCACGTCCTCTTGACTCGGGAGACTTTAGCCAGTCACAGTTCTCAGAGATGGCGTTCCAATTGGCTGTTCTACAATGCATATCTGTTCAAATGGTGAAAGCCTGAATCAGTAGCTATTTCTTGCCCCTCACAGCCAAAACAGAGTGTTGTTGAGACAGTGAAACAGGATGTCTGGGCCATCCTCTCATTACACTGTTTGATTGCTCTGCAGTTGCCTCTGAAGCCTGGGGCTCTCTGCCCTGGGGCCACGCAGCGCTGGAGGGTCATCTTTTAAAAAGAGGACTTGCAGTGAGAGGGAATGGGGCCTTGGCAAGGCTCACACCATGATGAGCTGGCCCTATGAGACATAAGGTCTTGCAGGGCAACTGACTCCTTCTGCTGCCTTTGGAACTTGTGGGTTCGGTGAGAGGAACTTAGTGGAGGGATATAAGGCAGCAGAGAATGCTGTTTGTTGCTGTTCAGTTTACTGCTGCTGAGTTTATGATTTGCTAGCAGATAGCCTATTCCGAAGAATGTTGACTTGATCTCCCACTAAAGCCTAACTCTTAAATCAATCTCTTCCTTACATTCCACTGAACGGGTTGGATAAGGGGTAATGAAAAAGGATAGTCAAGCTAAAAATGGCTTGCAGTTTGGCTTAACAGTCTGGATCTAAGACTCACCTGCAGGGGCAGCCAGCAGAGGGCGAAGGCCAGCACTGAGGCCACCAGCAGAGAGAAGGTCCTCTTCCTCCTTTGGCTCCAGCGCTGCTGGCTGTTGGATGGCTCCCCAGGTATGGAATAACGTTTTAGGCTGACAGTGATGGCACAGTAGGATACACTGACTGACAACAGTGGGATCATATAGGAGGCTATGAGAATGAAGCAGGAGTAGAGCAGCCTCAGATTGCCACTGTCTGGCCAGAATTCCTCACACACTACCAGATCGATGCCACTGGGTCGTAGGTCCAGATAGCGCGTGTAGAGAGACGGAGGGGCAGCCAGGGCCAGAGATAAAAGCCAGACACCCAGAGTCACGGCACCACAACCCCACGCTGAGATCCTCCTCCGTATTGGGTGAGCTGAGACAGAAGGGAAAAGACACAGACATGTCAGTATCCCGAGGTTTGGGCGGAGAGGGGAGTTATCAGTATCTGCTAGGGATACACATTGATATTGAATTCAGCATGTAAATGGTAAATGGACCTGTACTTGTATAGTGCCTTTCTAGTCTTCCGACCACTCAAAAGCGCTTTTACACTACATGAGACATTCACCCTTTCACACACACACACATTCACTCAGTGATGGCAAAGTCCATTGAACAGAAACTAACATTCATACACACACTGATGCACGGCATCGGGAGCAATTTGGGGTTCAGTATCTTGCTCAAGGATACTTCGACATGTGGCACCAGGAGCCAGGGATTGAACCCACAACCTTCCGATTAAGGAACGGCCCGCTCTGCCTCTGAGCCACATGCCCACGCATGTCAGTATCGTATACGTTGGTATCAGCCAATAACGGCTTTAACATGAAACATTGGCATCTGCAATTTCTTCCAATGAGCCAAAGATGATGCCACCACATCTACGAGTGTCAAAGAGGGACAATTATGTCTGTGGTTTAAGTTTCCGAAACGGATAGCTGAGTTGCTGTTTGCAATGGTTGCTCTGCGTAGGTCATTCCTTCAACAAATTTAATTAACTATCTTAAGAGCTGTCATCCTGATCATTAAAACACTTTTGTGAAGAACAAAGAGAAAAATGCACCAGCACGAACCACCTGTCAGCAGCCTCATCTTCAGTCCTTGCATATGTAGCCTGCTAATTTAGGCTTAATTATTCAACTGTGTGCAAAAGAGCGCACTATGTCTTGTGCTCTTTCAGTTGGCTTTAATTGCTGTACGGTTGTAGAATGCAGTTACTTTCACATGATCCCTGAGGACAGAGATCATTTTGTTAATTGTTTTGGAAATTGGTAAAATCTGCCCTGATTGTTGTCAGGATTGGCTCAGGGAGAGCATTATCAAGCCTGTTAAAGTATGATGTATTTTACAGATTGAATGGATATGTACACATTTATTTTATGACTACATCTGCTGTTGGGCTGTCACAATAAGAGCAGGCATAATACGTTTATTCTACTACAGGAGAGACTTGATGTTCTCTGCAGTTAGGTTGTAAAAAATATTCGTCTATATTGGCATCGGCAATTGGTCAAAATGAGCTGAAAAATAACAGAAACAAATAATAGGTTTAAAGAAAGCTTATGTTCAGGAGTAAACCTAAAGTTAATCAGTAAAAATAATGTTAAGTCCGTTACCTACGACAATGTAGCGGTCCACAGCAATGGCAGTGAGTGAAAGCACTGATGCAAACACTGTGGCACATTGCAGCAAGGGGACCAGGTGGCAGAGGGGTCTTCCGAAAGCCCAGCCATGGCTGTCAAAGGCATAAGACACTGTCAGTGGAACGCAACTCAGACACATCAGCAGGTCTCCAGCTGCTAAGTTACCAATGAAAAAGTTGGTGGCATTGTGGAGTTTTTTGTCAGCCAGGATACAAGCCAAAAGGAAGGAGTTTCCAACACCAGCCACAACCACTATGAGGCAATAGAGAGGCAGGAAGAGAGGTTTAAAATGTAGAAGAAGCTCCAGGCCTATAAACATGTCCACAGGGTCACTGTGGTTGAGTCCTTGGCTTTTGCTGCCTTCTTGTCTTTGTAGTCCTGTTTCATGACTGGTGTTACTGGTCACACTGAAATCCTCATCCATGAGGATGTCCATGTCTCTGGAAGCCAACCTTAAAATAAGAGAAAGCACGGTCAACAATAAATCAATAAGCACGACAGGAATCATACCCAGCTGGCATTTTAACGTCGAGTCACTGTTGAGTCAACGTCAGGTGCCAGTGTTGGTTAACTATTGAATTTCAACGTTGAAATAGCAACTTCATTCCAACGTCATGTTCTCAACATGAATTGCCAACATTGAATCAATATTTATTTTAGTTTAGATTTTGCAAATCCAATCAACGTTGAAATGTCACTATAAAGTCCTGCTTTTCAACATAGTTTGACACACTATATATTTGTTACACTGTTTTCAAAGTATTGATGTGTTCAACAGTAGCTCCAGTAACACCAAACACCTTGAAATGGATACATTAACACTAAGTATGTGGACAGCACAGTCAGCTAGGAAGAAGCCAATTGGTCAAAGACCAGGAAGAAGATTAATAAAGACATTTCACTGACGTAAACATGAAACATTTGACATGGCTGCAAGTGTGCCAACATTTCAGTCTTTTTTCAACATTAATTTAGTCAAAGTCAGCTTTATTGTCAATTTCTTCACATGTACCAGACATACAAAGGAATCGAGAGGATGTTTCTCACTCTCCCACGGTCAGATAAAGTGCACAGGCACAACAGACAAGACATTTACTAATACTAAAAGTAAACATTCACTTTCACAACAGACAAGACATTTAAAAAGATAGACAATAAAATATAAAATATACAATAATATAAAATATACAATATACAATACTTATTGTAGTGCAACAATACTTGGTATAAATATACACATATACTTTAACACGTGTCGAACTTTATAAAACGGCCCAAAAACAAAACAAACAAAACATTGGGCAACATTGAACACGGCAGTGTTACTTCTTTCTCCCACCGCCACCCATCCTCTCTGGTGCATACTTTAAATATTTTGCCATGTATTCTTCCACTTTGGTGGTAGTGGTGTCAAACGAGCCCAAGACAGCGTCTGAAGAGGGGGAAAAAAAACAGATCAGTATTAGCAAACGTTAACCTCCCAAATTAAAATATTTTGCAAATATCAACTTCTGTGGCATTGCCAATGTTTCAAGTGTATAAATTAGTATTTATCAACATGCAAGGTCATTGATCATCATGTGCTCGTGCGACCAACAAAAGGCAGTTGGTAGTACCAGTGCTGCCGGTAGAGAAGTTAGTCTAGAGCCCAGAATGGAATATTATATATAATATTAGAGCATGCTCTGTAGAGTCCTCCAACTAAAATTATTTTTCTCATGAATTATTATTCTGCTTACTATATTCAATTATTTAAAACATTGTTACAAAACTACTATGTTAAAGCAAACTCACCACAGATGATCCTGTACAGATTGGTCTTCATGAAGGCAACCTTCCCACTTCTTCCTCTGAGGCTCATTATGGGCATCATTTTATTTGTTATAGTTCTGCCATGGTAAAACAGATTTATATTAGATTATAGTGCAATCACGTTCATTATGAAAATGTAGCAGAGAGTAAGTGGGTGTGTGGGGGGAGTGCATGACAGTATATGAGGGAACATAATCACTATAAACTAATGCAAAAAAGGGGAACATAAAGTTACTTACGCAGCCATTGACTTTTTGACATGGTCTGCAGCATCAACCCCTCCCAACCTCTTCAGATGTTTACTCTGAAAAGGAGCAACAAGAAATTAAAAATATAACCCACACACACACCTCAGAAGCTCATTTGGCCAGAAAAGGCACTTCCTGCTGTAAAGACATTACCTAGATGAAATTACCCTATAAGGCCCCACGTGCCTTTAAAACGTAAACACCTCTTCGTCTTGTCTGTCTCTGCTGTTGTCTCTGATCAAAATGTAAAATGTCCCATGAAGCTGTACTTAGATCATTAGATTAGATCAGTTTGAGGGTTTTTGTCTTGTACCCAATCAGGGAGAGGCATAAGGATATCTCTACAAATCTTTAGTGTTGAAATTCACAGCTTAAAGCAAGAAAGATACAGAAAATGGCGAAGCGGGGACCTGCACACACACACCAGGGCTCCAGACTAACTTTTTGCATTGGTTGCACTGGTGTGCCTGACTTTTTTTTTTTTAGGAGCACCAGCACAAAATTTGGGTGCACCCAAATTTTTCATTGCGTCGCCTTTAACGCCATAAGGTTATTGCTCTCCATAACTTTCATATAATGTGAATGATTTTTAAACAAGAATAAGGTGTAGAGAAATGCTCGTCTTTATTTGAAGCACAATTATATATAAAAAGAAAAATAAAGTGTTTAAAGTGCTTCACTGAGCTGAAATTGAACATTTCAAACTCAAACATTTCAAGTAAAATAATTATTAATGATAATAATAATGATTACTACTACCTGCCGCTGAAATGCAGCTGGGAGAGGGGCCACTTTCTCTACACACACTTGTCACGGCATATCGTGTGTTCTTTAGACATGTTATGTTTTTTTAAAGTGTCGATATGAAATTTCCGGCCATATTCTGACCGCACTCCTGACAGTACACGCAGTGCATTGCGTTACGTCCTTTGTTGTACCTCAGCCAGGGAAATTGTTTCAGCCAGTCCTGTCTGAAGGAATATATTTTGGCCGCTTTAATTTGGGTCTCGGAGCCGGGCTCTATCCCAGACTCGGTTGTCTCCTCCTCTGGTTCCGAGTCTGATGCTGTCGCCGAAGGACCGGGGCTCGGCAATTTTTAAACACACACAATTTAGCGCGGTGAACAGGACCACAGCCAATCAGAGGCAAAGACCCGCCCGAGCTCTGTCTCTTATTGGATCGCGATATGATCCTACCATGAGTGTGTGAGTTCGCTCACAGGAGAACACAGAGAGATGATGCGCTTGCGAAATAAGTTTATGTTTTCACCCGGGCAGCGTCAGGTGCACCAGTGCGACCTAGAAACATTATTAGTCGCACTCTTAAAAAATGTTGGTCGCCTAAAACCGCCTAAAAACTAGTCTGCCGTACACACAATATTAATTAACACAATACGTATTAATATATGAGTCAGGCACACTCAAAATTTCTAGTTTATAGTTTTAAAATGTAATTTCAAAAACGTTGCTTACCGTTTTAGAGTTGTAGCTGTTGCCAAAGTTAATCCGAACCGGTCCAGGTCAGAATCTGCTTAACCTGGATGAAGACAGACCCACTTCGCGCATGCGCAAGCGGGTGTTGTCTGGAACCGTCAGAGCCAATAGAATCCAGTTCTAACCGAGAGATCAGAGTTGATCTTTCAACGTTGTATCATTATTCATGTATCAACACTTTTTCAGCAGTTAATTGATCAGCATTGTTTGGATGTTGGAACAACGTTATTTTTCTACTGATGTATTTCAAGAAAAGTCATGGTTGTAAAAAATAATGTTGATTTGACGTACAACTCAAAAACTGTTGATATTTCAGTGTTGAATGCATAATGAGTTAACAACACCACTGTTTGGTGTTCAAAGTTGTTTTGACGTTGAATTAACGTAACATAAACGTAAACTGACATTATTTCAACAACATTTAAACATATTCCCCCAGGCTACGTATTTTCATTTCATTTAAAAATACCACAACCTGGCCAAATACCCAGCTGTGTTTCCGGGAAATGTGTCTTTTTAGATTTCAAAACGACTCTTTACCGATTGCAACAATGTCGCCGCATTCTTTTTCTTGTTCCACATTATCCCCCTCTACACTTGTTCGACTTCTCAGTTTCTTTTCTGAAGTACACATTAAAACCTTTTTAAAAAATTGCCGCTCCTCGCTCAACACAAAATCCTTCCGCTCCCATGTTCTCAGACACCACTGTAAACAAACTAAATGCCATAGATGTTACTAACTACACGGTGTTTAGCTTGGGGCCCTTCTGCTGTTTCTTGGCTCACTGCATGAATGAATATGCCAGCAAGCTATGCTGTTTTTATCCAAAACTCATCATAAAACTGCTCTGATAGTGATTGATTTTAATCAAGAACTTCTGTATTCAATCCCTTAGTTCCAAATACCGCAAAGGCACAAAGCCATGAGACAACTTCAGTGGGTAGAGAGATAATTTTTGATTAGCTTTATTCTCACAGGAATTTTCTATCTAATTATCTTTATGCTACTGCAGTGATCTGTTTTTTTCTTTAACTGTTCTGGGAGGAGGTGAATTATACCTGCAGGTAGATTTTTTACATGAAAAATGAACTTAGTTTGAGGCTCTCATGAGAAATGTCTTGAAATTTTACTCACTTGTCCTGAGATTCAAAAGATGATAGATGTATGTTTATGCACTGGCACCCTGTGATGTATCATGCATTGGAACATTATGCACCCTGGTGCCTTTTCCTTCAAATATCTGCTATATCCCTTTCCAGGCTGATGCTGCCCCATCAGTGCAGCCACAAGGTAGGAGTCCACAGCCATAAAAATATAATGAAAAGGGGAAATCGCTGTGAACTCACTTGAACTTAAACTGGTCTGTTAGTGTTAAATTGTCAAGAATATAAAATGCCATCATCCTGAGATGGCAGAACTGATATGAGTAATATTTGAGGATAATTCAGGGAGATAGTATTTTTAAACCATTATTACAAGTCTGAGCATGATGCAGAACAAAATGTTATTTTAAATAACATAAAAACTACTTTGTTGGCCTATGCTGGTTAAATCTATTCTGACTTATATTGTGTCAGCAACCTAATTTATCATTTGATCTAGCTGCCAGAATCAGTAAGATAGTATTTCCATTCTATGTCAGGAAAAGCACAGGAATAATGACTGCATTCTGTTTAGGTGAATGAATTTTAGGGCTTTAGTGTTGTGAATGCTGGTGCAGTGCATAACTTAAGCCTGATTTATGATTTTGCGATACCATGTGTACAGCGTGGGTACTCCGTAGCCTCGTACCCTACACCATAGCTTTATGTACACCTCCCCAAACATGTTTTATGTGTGTGTCTGCATTGTCTGAGAATGGGAAGTGACTCAAACAAAACCAAGATGAGTTAATAATGCTGTTTGAGAACCCCTGTTCAAACATACAGGCACACAAGGGATGCTGCTTTGCTGCATGACATGCTCTTGTCTGTCCCCTGATATTCCCTCATCCTTTTGTCACAGGCAGTGGGGGAAAAAAACAAAACGAAAACACAAGACAGATTGAGGAGAAGAAGAATTTCAGTCACCATTGTTTGAAGAACATGAAGAAACTCTACACATTGACACAGAAACCCCAACTGCCAACTAGCTTTCTTTGTATAGCAACAAGTATAAATGCTCACAATAGCATAGGTCCATTGGCGTGCACGGGGGGGGGGGTGGTGGTGGTCGCCCTCACTTGTGGCCCAATTGTTGAAAAACGCGTGCTAAATTGCCCTCTTGGGAGTCAAGACGCATGCTAAAGTGCCCTCTTGTGAGCCAAAACGCGTGCTAAAGTGCACCATTGGGGGCCAAAACGCGTGCTAAAGTGCCCTCAAGTGCCCTCTTGGGAGCCAAAATGCGTGCTAAAGTGCCCCATTGGGAGCCAAAACGCGTGCTAAAGTGCCCTCAAGTGCCCTCTTGGGAGCCAAAACGCGTGCTAAAGTGCCCTCTTGGGAGCCAAAACGCGTGCTAAACTGCCCTCTTATGAGCCAAAACGTGTGCTAAACTGCCCTCAAGTGCCCTCCAAAACCCCCCAAAGTGTCCTATTGGGAGGCAAAATACACTAAATTGCCCTCTTGGGTGGAAAAAACACTCAACTGCCCTCTTCTAAGTTCTATTATTAGGTAGAGATGCTGCCTAAAAGAGGTGCTAATATGGTGTTAAAATGCACTAGAATACAGGAAATGGCATCTTCTTAATTAAAATTGTTCGGGGGGAAGACCCCCAGACCCCCTGGGGATTTCTCGTGGATGCTGATCCTAACAGCAAACTAACCTGAGTAGTCTGTCTAGTTAGTCTGTTTTAAGGCTATGTAATGTGCCATTTGTATAACATATAAAACATGTCTAAAGTGCCCTCTACAGTGGTGAGGACACGCTTTATGTGCCCTTTTTTTTCTTTCCGCCCCTGCCCTTCAAAAAGTCTGTGCACGTCACTGCATAGGTCACTTGTGTAAGCTACAGCATAGAACACAGTTGTGTGGCAATGGTCACAAAATTAGGGTTTGTTTGCAGAATTGATTAGAAATAAGGAGGTGGGTTTTAGCTACTTTTGTGTCCAAGAAGTGCAGAGGGTGCAGAAATGTAATCACTCCTACCATATGTAACAGAGCACGTAATGGGCGTGGCTGTAAAGTAAGCTTGTTGGGATCTGCTTTGGGCTCTTCTCTGTCTTAAACACTGAAAGTTCTTATGCATATAACCTGCTTGCAGTAAATGTCTGATTAGATGAAGGAATATTGTGTACTGGCATTGGTACTGAACTGCCTAATCTCATCTGCACTAGACAAGCTTTCTCCTTTGAGTGACCACAACAGCTTTCCCTGCTTGGACAAGTCTAAATGTCTGCTGTGACGGTTAGTTTTAATAGATCTTCTAAAATTAAATGGGTGTCTACTGGATGGTAAAATCATCATCATTCTCATCATTTTAAAAGAGATGATGAAGATTAAGAGATGAAGATGATTATGAGGAATTGAACAACTCCAACTCCCTGGAAGCTCTCTGACTAAGACTTATAGGATAGCTTTTTGTTTGAATGCTAAACAAAAGGAAAAGTCACCTTAGCTTTGTTAAAATGACATTCAAATTCCAGCATAGTAGTACAGCAGATACTCATTTGTCTTAGAAGATGGAAGTTTCACATTTTGAGGAATACAGATAACAGAAACCCAGTGTGTTGAGGAAGCCAGTGGAACAGTGTCTAGCTTAAACAGGAGACTTGTTGAATCATGGAAGAGTCATTCCAGTCTGACACAGTTTCAGCCAGCTAGATTGTACATGATAAAAGGTAACTCTGCTACAATTATGGTGCAGTCCATTTTCTTTTCTTTTGTTCCTTTGTCAGCACTATTACAGAGTGCGACCGTCTTTTCTACCACATGAAAACCACATTCTCAAGTAGGTGGGTTGGAGTAGCTCTTCTCTATCACTGTGTGGCCTTTTAGCTTTGGCAGTTAATGCTGAAAACACCAAACTGCCTTCATCCTCAGAGTAAATCACTGCCTGCACTTTAAAAGATTGTCTGATGGCTGTATTCTTTTTGAAAACGTCAACTTCCCTTTTTTTGGAAGAAAACAAAAACATCCTGACCTTTTACAGAGCAGTGTTTCCCATATATAGAATTTATTCTGGTGGCCAAATAGATTTGCTCTCATGTAAAGGATTTTTTTTTTTTAAAGGTCTGTCTGGAAATACCATATCGACAGACCATATTCAGAGGTATGCTTATGAATGCACTGCTGTTTTGCAGCAAACTCTCGACTGTCAGATGTTGCAGCCTTCCACCAGCCCACTGAAAATGGCACATGCGCCACTTGTGATCTTTCATGCCTTCATTAGGCAATATTACCTATTGTTGCAGTATACCTGACTTAAAGCCACATCATTCACTGAGGACACTGCAGTGAAAGTCTTCCAGGGGGCCACACATGCCAGACAAGGCATGGCTTTGAAATGACAACAAAAAGACAGTCGGCCACCCTCTGCGTCTTAAATGAGAAAATACCCAGAGGGGCACAACATGGTTAGTTTTATTTTGTTTTCCTCAGTAACAGGCAGAAGCAGCCCAAATATTTATGAGTCATAAATATTGCTGGTCATTCAGGAAAGTAACTGGAACCTAAATTGTTTTGTTTTGTTTCTTTGTTTTGAAACTACTTAAGCTTTCTCTAACCAAACCCTCCTGTTAGAAGTTAAACATCTGATAGCTCATTGCAATGCAGCGTCATACTGTATCTAAAGGTTTTTTTATGTTTTCATCTGGTATTATTGGCAGTAAGAGTTCTGTTCTTTGCAGGTTTCTGATGCATTTTTTTTTAATTGGCTGAGAGGAGGGGAGCTAGCAGATTTTATAACAATTTAAGGTTTTAGGTCAACTGCTGAAGAGAAATGGTAGAAAGCTGATAGAATGTTCTATGCATAACATAATAGTAACAAGCCATGCTAGACAGAAGCGCTGTGAGGCTATTTAGTGGCCATTCAGACTGGAAACAATCCTCATTGGACTAATATAATAATTTAACTAATATATAATAATATAACTTATGTACAACAAGATACTAATTTCAGACCAAAGTGAGTACTGGCCTCAGCCTGGCCACCCCTATGAAAATTGTCCGCCACTGACAGTCCTGCATTAAAACAATTCAAGGGTCTGCATTGGTTAGGGTGTGTTACTTTACATTACGCACTAAAATACTTCACAGCAGTTTGCTAAAATTGGCTAATTAGCAATAACCACAAAGTAGTGCTGAGGTTGATTTGAATTTCATTAGTTTTGCAGGTTTTGTATTTGACAAGTTAGAATTCTGAACTAATGTTAGAAAGTTGTATCACCAAAATGATTACAATTCATTGTGAGGGAGGCATGAGTGACTGTATCAAATTTCACATCAACCTCGTGGTGGTGTGAGAGGTAAAGTCACCAAAGTCAGTAGAATTCATCAACTGTGAACCACAAATGTAATTCAGTATATGGTGAGATATTCTACTGGATAATTAAAAACTTTAAAACAAATTTAGGAAATTACTTAAGACATTAAAATCTATCCTCTGAGCTCCATGAAGTCTAAATTTCATCCATCCAATAGTTGTTGAGATATTTCATTCTGGACCAAAGTGGTGGACTGACTGACAAAGGATGACATTTTCATCCCTAGAGCCATTTGAGCATTGCAAATGAGTAGAGAAACATAATGACTGCAGCCGCTTTTAGGGCATGATGGGTCAGTGATGGTTTGAGGAGTGACAAAAATGATGTGAATCATATGCTATGACCTTCCCAGTCAGCAGGTCTCAACCCAGCTGAAACCCAGTGGGGGATTGTTAGACTGACATGTTAGACAGTGAAAGGATCTGTATCAGGTTGTACCTACTTGGTTTTTTACTGTGCATAAACCTAAGTAACTCACCAACGAAGCTTGAAGGAAAGCATGATTTGTGTGTCTCTTTTTATGAATGGAGTCATGTCTGACAATTAAGTGAGCTTAATTATTTTCTAAAAGGAGGGTTATGATCCCAATTAGACTGTGCCCACTGAGAAGCTGCCTCAGAATGCAAAGTTTGTAAAAAACCAAAGATGTTTTATGCACAATTATACATAAAAATCCTCATCCCATTTAATAAAGTCTAGGTTGAAAAAAAGTTTAGGTGACAGTACAAAGTTTCTCTTTCTCATCAGTGTGAATAAATGATTCAGATACTTGATAAAATCTTTAGCAGATGGATCCACTCCACTGATTCAATATGTGTAGCACATCAGTGCAATCAGTTTGAAGGGCATGTTAAAATATTTTCCGTGTCCAATTCAAAACCTGTTAGTAACCATTACTTGCTAAGCAGCACGCTCTACTTTAGAGCTAGCATCTCTCAGTGGCAGACTGCATTGTGTCTTTGATTTCTAATTTGTTATGCACGTGTCGATAATAAACAGCAGGAATATGTTTTCTGATCCCATCTGGTCTCACGCTGTCTACATTATTTGACAGCTTGGAAGAAACCCACTCTTGCCTAGTAACGCTGTTGCCATGGCCTTTGTGGAAACCATCCAGACCCTGCAGCTAATTTGTGAGGCGTGATGTGAGAATTGAGAACCCTCAAAATGCAAAACAGGAAGGGCAACTCTTGAGGACTCTCTCTTACCCTATTTTGACAACTCTGTTTCCCTATCTTTATTTACACCCACTTTTTTGCTCTCTCTGACTCACATGACATTTCCTAACCTGAGCACTTTCTATGAATTTTGCATTTCCATCCTTCTGAGGCTGATGAGGCATCCAAAGGATGCTGGAGGCGGAGGCTGGACATTTAAGTAACACAAATGAGGTCAAAGTTAATCGTATGCAATTCTGATGAGGTGACTTAATGGTGTACCTCATGATTTGAACTGGAAATGGAAAAATAGTAGGCCTATTTATTTTGAACAAAAGAAAAAGAAATGTTCGTGCTTTCTTTAACTTTGGGTTACACATGTCTTGTCACCCTCTCCACTGTGTGTCACAACTGTGTTTTGTATGTATTGCAGTAAGTCTGTACCAGATACTGGGTAATTTGAGGTGTTTTAAAGTCAGTACCCTGAAATTTAACACAGTGAGCAGTGAGAATGTCTTTCCCAGTCTACAGGGCTAATGATCAACTGCCGGCTAAATGTTATTATCTCCTGCTGACCCTTTCATTACAAGAGGTCAAAGCCTCTCTAATAGCATCGTCTCTGCCAAGGAACAATCACAATTTAAGACGTGCAAACACGTCCACATTTGAGCAAGTGCAGAGAATAGAAAAATCGACACTTAAGGATTTAAGGTTAACTGTGTTAGGTTAGATGCCATTTTGCTGAATTTTTTAGCCCCAAAGTGTTCCCCACCAGTAGATAACTGTATTGTGGTTGCTGATGCTGCAAGGTAGGAGTGTGCATTCATGCATTACCTTACACAAAGGAGAATAATACTTCCCTACTTTCCATAGACTAGTTTTCTTTGCCACATTAATGCAAGAAGCTTCAGCAATTTTATATTTTTCCAGATGTGTTCTTATTTGTCTTGGGTGTGATTTATGACAACAGATCTTCTAAATGCAGTGCTGTTTCGGCTTTCAACTCTGCAATTCTGGCAGCGCACTTCTTTCTTCTGGTCTACATTCATGTTGACAGGATGCATACAGATGCTTAGTGTCACAGATGCCACAGAGTACCAGAAAAATTTTAAATTTCACTTATTGAAATTACATATTTTACAGTAAATGGGCTGAGACATGCAAAACATGCTTTAAAAATCTAGATGACTCATAACTTGGCTTTGTGCAGGGCACAATTTTCTTTTGATGAAATTATATTGACATAAATTTTTTCCTGTTTTAAAGATGCACCCGAGGAATGAGTTTGCACAATGACTGCCTCATATTCTGCTGCATGTCATTTAGACTTGCTTGACTTTAGAATCTGGGAAACTAATGTAAATGTTTGTGGGTGAGCGCCCAAATACATTCAATATCTGGGAGATATTACACTGCGTTTGTTGTGTCATGTCATGTCAATGTTAGTGTAATGGCAGTTTGTCATTTGTCAGTGTTATTTTTTTATATTTTGCATAGTATTCTCAAGATAAATATTTAACATGAATTAAATCCTATATGTTGAAAAATGTATACCTGAACATATGTTTAGTCTTACATAACTATAAAAACATAGTACCACATATTTCTAATATATGTATGTGCATATATGTAGATTTCATATATACATGATCATGTATTGCATATGAAGTATAAACTACCCCACAGCCTGCAAAACCTATATACGAGTAGACTGATGCACCTGCAGCTTGGAAAAAAAATGCTTTTGCCTCTTTGGTGCTATGCTGTTGGGCTAATTCTCCTTTGAAAACTGACATATCTAAGTGATGATTGCCAGACCTCCTTCAGAGCCGAAAAAATACTGCTAATTGGCATTTATCCTAATTTGACCCACTTTATGGCAGTGTTTATAATCGTGATACAGTTATATCAGCATTCAGTTCCTTTCCTATCAGTTGTTACATTATTTTTCCAGACCACTTATATGTTAGATATAATAAAATGCTGCTTGAATAAAATGATGCTTGTCAATTAGTGACCTGAATTAGTAACTTATTGTAAATAAAGCTTGCAATTAGACAATTATGCAAATTGCACTTCTTAATTATAAACCATGAAAACAAGTATAGAGCAAACATTTGTGGAAAAATGTTGATACTGTGTTGTATGTGTGTGGATGCATATCTGTAAGTGTCAGTGCATGCAATGAATCAGCAGATAGAGATTGAGTATCTTACCTGTGCAGATGTTCAAAAATTGGAGATACTGAAAATATCCCTGTGTGGTCTCTCTTCAGTTCAGCAAATGAGCTTATTTTCTTTTCCTTTCTTTTGTTGCCTTTTGTTCCCCTTCTAGTTACAGTTCTTGAATCTCTAGTTAAAAATGCTTTCCTGCAGTCCACATTGATGTGAGGAGTCAGGCAGGGAGACGGTGTTGCCTCACTCAGTACTGAGTGAGAGTGACAGAGGGAGGGAGAAAGAAAAGGGACCCACATAACCTCTTTCCCTCAAATCCTCATAAACTCTGCCCCCTCCCACCTATCCTTTCCTTTGTCTGCACCCACACACACAAAAACACACACACACTTCTGCATGTGTCTCTCCCAACACGGTGTGGAGACCTATAAAGCAACCTGTTATTTGGCCCAGGGGGGAGAGGGCAACCTATTCTTTTTGCTTTATTTGCTGTATGAAAACCTTGATTGTCTGCAGATTCTCCCACACAACACCTGAAGAAGAAGAATGAGGCAAAGGTGAGCAACCGTGTGAAAAAAGGACAGAATCATATTTACTATTTTGTCTCCAGGGTGAGAAGGACGACGAAAAATTTTCAGTTATTGCTCTAAAAAGATTAAAAAAAGAAAAATTACATGCATAACCACATGATGGTTGACTGGCTCCAGACCTTTGAATCAGCCCACTCCACTAGGTTTGCTCGTCTGGCATCATGACATAACACAGTTTATAACAACGGTTTCTTGGTCGAAAAAGCGATTATCCAATGATTGCCACAGGGGGACTAAAGATTAGCCAGTCAGCACCATGGGCAGGACTAGTATACAAGGATACAAGGTTATTTAATTGTCAGTTTACAACACAGAGTTGTATAATGAAATTCAGGTCATACTTCCCTTTATGCTACTGGTAAAAATAAATATATACAAAAATGTATTAATAAGTCAGAAAAATAAAAAATAAGAATAACAAAGGTGACCGATATAGACAAAATAGACCCTGTTATCAAGGCTTTATTTTAAATAGACAACATTTCTTCTCAATTTTTTTGTTATATATAGTTTTTATTTTGCTCTGGTCTAGTCTTCAAAACCAGTATGTTGGCATAGCTACGCATTTGTGTTGACTTAAAATGACGGATATGTTAGTGTCTTGGTTAGGGAAAACTGAATTTCCCTCCTGCACTAAAATCGGTTAGAGTGGAGGCAATGTCAGACTAAAGATGGAAATGGAGTGTAATAATTTAAAAATTCTGTCTGGTATCAGGCAAAAATTATCGACGTTCAGACAACTACGGAGACAACTTGCTGCCTCTGCATTATTTATCAATTAACAAATAATATCTAAATATCAGTCTTTCTGTCTACTCTACCAATTTATCTTTGCAATGCCCTTTGTAATGTAATGCCCCCCAGAGGAACCCCTGCTGACACATTGACAGAAGCTACAATGAAAGCGCCATCAAATAATGTTCAGATGGTTTTTCCTCCTCTTAGCTACTCCTTCATCTCTCTCTGGTAAAGGCTTCTCCTTATCACTATTGTTGGTTGTGTGATGAGGATCTGACACTTGAGCTCGTAAATTTGCTCCACAGGTTCTCTTCAACCATTTCACACCATCAGTTGGGGGACCAATTCAATACAAGATGGACCACTCAATAGAACACACTATCCCGGCAAACCCTTGAGAGCTCTGAGCAAAAACAACGCAGGGTAAAAAGGCACAGATAGGGGAAGGCAGTGGATATGGATTGCTATAGTCCAGAGAATTTCTGCTAGGCAAGTCTTTGTAGGCGCTTGAAAGAAAGCTGAATGTTTGATTGGTTTGTCACAACGCTGCAGAAAGCTTTCATAGAAAAAGGGGACTGAAAAGGCAGAGGTATTCAGGAGATTTTCAGTAGCATGTCTTAAAGATGAATGACGAAAATAAACACATAACATCAAAAATACGTGAATACAGGTTTGGTTGTGTGACAGGCATTACACATTTATCCTTCAACCAACACTATAATTTTTGTCTTTGCCAACCAATAAATGTTAGATGTTTGACATATATGTTTATGCAATATGTTTTGAACTAATGTCTGACTCTTTCAACTGAATAATAATTACGGTTGCTTCTGTACTCTGCTGATGAGTAAGCTTTTAGCATTCAGGTACTGAGGTATAAGTCTACATTTATTTAACCTTGTTATCGGTGTGTCACAGCTATCTGTGTAATTGACTTGTCAGTTAAATTACTGTGTCTTTTTGGTAGAGGTATATTAATTGGTTGAGAGTGTGTGTAAGTGTGTATGCCTGAACTTTACATATCTTTATAATGACTTTGGCTTTGGGACATGTAGCTTCTAATTATGAAAATGTCTATCTGCGACTTCCAAGCTCTGTAGAAAAAGGGTTTGTGATAGTGTAGATACAACACACACATACTCATACATGCTGCACCAATCATATCTTTTTTAAATTAATTTAGACCTACTGGAGTGGAGGAAGTACTCAGATCTTTTACTTAAATATAATCTATATTGTTATACATTATATATTTGTAACAATGACAATGTAAAAAACATGTTAAAAGAGTTACTCAGTGCAGGCTAATTTCCACATTCACTCCATTCACAACATATCATGTATGCTTTAGTTTATTGTTCATGCCAGTAACATATCTTTTAAAATGCAACAAATATTCATTTATATCATTTATTCTTGAATGTTTTTTTTACACCTCATTTCCTCAGAGCTCTGATTGGAGCTGTAGTAGCTCTGAGTAACTGGAGATGACAGAGTATACAGGATTTTATTCTCCAAATTATTTTTTCCTCCTGCTTTCCATCATTATGTTTTTTACATTCCAGGACAATCAGTGTGCCAGCCTACCGGTAGTGCTACGAGAAAGTGAAGATTGGACTTGCCAGGAACATGCCTCCATTTCTAAAAGTTAGATGTGTAAATAAGCACCTGTTGGCTAACAAGTTCACATATAAATTTAAAAGGTGATAATATGTCAATGTTATGTTCACAATTTTTTTCCACAGCCCCCAAGTGGCCAAAAAATCTGATATTGTAGGTTTGATTTAAAACCAGCATTAAAATCTACATAAAAATCCTTCAGGTGATTCATGGGGCTGAAAGAAGAGACTGGGTTTTTCCTTAATCTTTGTTTAATCTTTATGGAATGATTGATAATTGTACTTCTTTGGTGCTTGAACAAGTATTTACTGTAAATTAAACCTTCTGAGAAGATTAGAGGATAAATCATTCTTTGGTTGAACTGCTAACACCTCATAGGCATTTGAAATGTGACAAGGGTCCCCAACTAGATACTGCTTGGAAAAAAGGGATGGAACAGCTCAAGTAAAAAATTGGAACCAATTCGGTTTGCTAGTCACGGGTTGGGGCGTGTATGTATTGTTCGGTTCATTTGAAATAGGCTATGAGGTCTTACACTTACAGAGATATGCAGTCCTATGTCGTCACGGAGGATGCAGCATTTTAGCATATGATTAGCAATTAGTAAATAACAAAGCAGAATTTTTTTGGTTTGCAATAATTAGAAAACTTTTAATTATGATTTGACAATACAATGCATATGAAGTGAAGTGTTTATGTTCCTTATTGTTATGAGAATTTTACTGAGGCAAACAACTGTGAATTTTGTGAACCTCTATTGGGAAATCTTGGGAATCCCTGTTTTTTATCTTTAACAATTATATAAGCTTGCCATATGTTTTTTTATTGTAAAATCTTAAAAGTTTTGGCGAAATGTGACAAAAAAATGTGAGTGTGATTGTTGTACTTATTAGACAGAAGCTTCTTTTACATTGACAGTTACATTGCTAAAGCATGTTATTTCACGGCATGTGGAATATTTGATTTTGATTACCACTGAACTCTGATGTTTTGAGGGTGTAGCAGCACAGCATGTCTGCCTTGTGAAATGTCACAGTCTGTCTAATTTTCATTCAGTGCCCCTTGAGGACACCATCAGTAACAAACAGGCAGATAAGCTTGACTATCACATCCCTTCTCGGCTCTGACCTCCATATGTCTGTATGTACACGAGGCATCCTCCAGGAAAGAAACACTGTGGAGATGGAAGTAAGGAAGGAGAGGAGTCAGAGAGGGATCTGAGAGGACCATGTTAAGAGGATTAACAGAGGATAACTCTATTGATTTTACCACTTAAGTGACAATAAGGCAGGATAAGTAGACTTGATTGAAAATAACAAAATAAGGACATTGTGTATGTTTGTAAGAAGAGAGAAAGAGAAGACAACAAGTAGAGATGATACATTAGTTACAAGAGAGCTACAGATGTTCTGTATCTTCATTTCATGCTTGGATACCACCCTCATCATTAAAGCAACCCAGTGATGTGAAAACCCATTGCTCGCCTGTCCTTGCTTGCTGTCTCCTAGACATTTTCAAACCCACATCTGTCTTTTCAAATGTTTTTTTCCCTTGAAATGGCTGATTCATTTACAGTGTGGCTTTCCACTGTGGTAAGAATGACAGCAGATATTACAGAAGAGCAGAGCATATGTACCCATATCACAGCCAAAAGCGAAAAAAGCTTTCTCGCTCTATTGAACATGAACTGTATATTCAATCTAGATAGCAGACACTATCAGTAGTCTCCCTGTCAGTAAAACAACTTGCAGTTTTCAATTTGTGTAACCACAATTGGTTCAAACACCAATAACTTCTGTTGGCAAGTACTTCTGTGCCAGTTTCACACAAGTTCGTCACTTAAAGTTACATAAGAATTTCTTTCATGCCCCAGAACCAATGACACACACATTTTCCTGACTGTGACTAAAATAAATGTTTTGTGAATAATTGTCACCCGATTGTCACAAATAACCTCTTGTGTCCCCCAGTGTTGTTTGACTGTGCCAAATGGGAACGTTTGCCCATCATTATGTCCACTGCTAGCTTATGGACTATAAATCAATGCTGCTTTTGAGACCTATTGTGGTCTTAAATGCATCTGTTAGTTCAGGCACTATTTGCTGCTGTTTATTCTTGTCCACTACGGCAGTGGCTGACAGATTCATAGGACACATTGCATCAGCTTAAAGTAATA